GTTATGTATGTACTTTTTAACTTGACACTACCTACTCGACTTCGTTGCATTTTAGTTATTTAGAGTATGGCTATGCTCAACTAGAAGTGAAACTATATTATTTAAACTTGTCATGAATCACGAAAACAACATGATATTATTTTTACAGATTTACTAACGCCATGTCAGATGTATTCGGGCCGATGTTGTTCTGTTATTACGTATTCCACCAAACAAGCGGCTGTTTACTATTGCTGGAATGTTCGCAAATGGTAAGTTAATAATAATACATACCTTAATATATACCTTAATAATTACTTATAATCAAAGTTTAATGAATTTAAAAATAATGTCATTTTTTCCTTTTCTGTTGCAGACTGCACAAGCTCTAATTCGTTACGTACCACTGACGATAATACTGACTCAGCAATTAATTCAATTGTCAGTCATTTTTGAACTGGTCGGCAGTGAGGTACGATTATCAGAAAAGAGATTTACGACTTGACTGAGGGCAATACTAGGCTATTTAGTGGCACCACGACACACATTGAGATGACTTAATGAAAACGGTTGGCTTTTGTCGCACTGTCCATTTTAGATATAACTGTTTAGTCCGTTGTTAATCTGAGCTAGACTTTATTGTCTCCTTTGTAAAGATTCTCAATACTTTTTTTTTGAATACGGAAAAGCTTCCTCAATTCTCTCTACTTCATTGTGCTCGCTTACTTCTCAAACAAAAATTCACCTTAACTCGTCGAGTACCGTCATTATAGACACAATTATAGAACAATAGGTTGCAGTCACCGGTGACCGCTTGGTGTTTGACAGTTTAAACCCACTTCTCGGATTGTGCCTTTCATGAATATTCTTGTCTAAAATTGCAAACAAATATACATGACATTTATAATATTATTGAAATTACAGAGTGAGAAATTAAAGGACGCCGTGTATGGTGTACCATGGGAATGCATGGATGCTAGTAATAGGAAGGTGGTTGCATTCTTTCTTATGAATGTTCAGGAACCTGTGCATATTAAGGCTCTGGGTATTGCTAATGTTGGAGTCACTTCTATGGCTGCGGTGAGTATGAAGATTTCTATCTTCTTTTGACTGTCTTCTTACTTGATAAGGTTACAAGATTCTTGGACGAGCCTATATTATCTATACAGATAAATAAAATTGGAGTGTCTTTTTGTAATATTAAAATAACCCCTTTTTACTACTTGCATATGAATAGACATACGATACATATACCAAAATTAGACTTTAAAGTTTTTGACTGTCTGTTTGTACTGGCTAATCTCTGAAACGGCAAGACCGATTTAGACGGGGTTTTATTGGCAGGTAGCTGATGTACTAAAGAGTAAAAGAGGCTACTTTTATTTTGGAAAATTGAAACAATAATTAAGTTTTGTCCTAAATTCATATTCTAAGCGAACGACACTAACTCACGGGCAACAACAAGTTATAACATAAAAACTTATGAACTAAAGTAAAAACTTTGCTAGAGATGTACATCTACCTGTACTTTTACCATTACGGCAGCTATTAGTATTAGTGTAGGTGAGAGATGGTTGGATAGAAATGAGTTATACCACTTGTAGGAACCATCGACCTCGTGACTGCCGGTATAAAAGACACAATAATACATTATGTCTCGTGTAGATTTGCGTTCAGGTGATCGACGGGTTAAATAAATAGTGAAAATATGAATTATATGTTTCTTCCTGTGTTTCAGATCCTGAAGACTTCAATGTCCTACTTCACCTTCTTACGAAGCATGTGAATATTTAAATCCTTTGAAAGTAAAGGTCGCTATTATGTATTTATTTGCTAACATTTCCTGTGATTGCTTTCTACTATTTATTATTTAAATTTATTCTCGTTATGATTTAATTAAAGGAAAACAAAGAAACGATTTGTTTTATTTAATTTTTATAAATCTAAATGTAATTAACTTCCCTAGAAAACTGACTTTGTTTTAAATTACTTTTACTAAAATGCAAATTGTTGACAATTTCGACAAAAACCAGATTGAAAATGTCATTATTTTGCAATGCTCAGCTTCATAGAGATGATGGAATTTTTGTCAGTTAAATCACACTTTTGACGTGATATTTTTTTGTGATACGTAGTTGCCATGATTAATTGTTTTTAAATACTGAATGCCGTACGATTGCTTCAATTAAGATTTTTGTGAAACACAATATCAGATTCGACTCGTTTTACAATAAAACAATTACAAGTTAATATATAGGTAACTAGCAAACCCGGCGAACTGTGTTTCGCCGCCAGATGGCTTTGTTTTATGTAACATTTCGAGTGGTGATTAAAAGAGTAAGAACATTTTTTTTTGTTTTATATTTTTATAAACTTTACGGAGCCTGAGACGTTTCCAAAGAATACAAAACCGTGGAAATCGGTTTGTGTGTTCTGGAGTTATAGCGTCAGGAAGGAGAACCCGACTTATTTTTATACAGTAGACTACAGTTGATTTATATTTATGAAGTTATTTTTTATTACATGAGACTTATAACATAAATAGTGAAGAGTGGGTGTTACATTGTACAATGGCATTAAGTGCATACACCATATGAAGTACACCTCTGCCTACCCCCGCGGAATAAAAAGCATGGTTATATTTATTTTATTATTTATAAGTTGTCATTTTTATATACAGCTACCTCTTCTTTTGGAAGTCGCAATTATGTTTTTTTTGATCCTTTCCAATGATATCTTTTCACTTCGTCTGTAGAATCAAAAAATAAAAACTGCGTTTAAAAAACCGACTTCAAAAAACCAAAAACTAATAAAAAACAAAAAGTCAAAACTAAAAAGCAAAAAATAACTATTATTAGTAGTGATAGGTTACCCACCCACTGATTGGTAAGAAGTCGGTGTAATAAACGAAAGTTCCCTACGGTTTCCCTAGGATCCTATCATCAGATCCTGACCTCATGGAAATGGGACCATCTCGAAAGTATACCCTTTCAAACAAAACAAGAATTATGGAAATCGGTTCACAAATGGCGGAGTAATGCGCGAACAACGAAAAAAAAATCAGCCGAACATAGTACCTCCTCCTTTTTTGAAGTCGGTAAAAAATAGTTATTCATGTATCTATGATGCGGCGGTTTACTCTACGGTATGTTTAAAAATATATGATTATCTTGGCAGAAATTATGTTTCATAAAAATATAAAAGAAGTTAAGTCAATGATATTCATATAATAAAAGAGCGCACAGGACGTGATAATTGAACCTTGTCTCAAATATCTACAACTCTCTATTATTATTAATTTAATATTTACTTTGAAGTAATAATTAATAGGATGAAGTGATGGATGTGAAAAGTATACATTATGGTATGTTGTATTTATACAGGGTGGAACAAGTATTCTTCTTATTTTTATGAGATTTGGACAAACAATCAGATGCATCACTGCATCAGGTGGTACGCAATCAGCGTCATTCATAGACAACCTTAACAAGAAAAGACTTACAATAATGTTGGCGGCCTTTTGTCATAGTGATCCGGAGTTTTTTTTATGTATTAGATTTCTTTTTCCCCACGGACTTTTGTTCGTGTCCTTGTCATTCAATTACATTTTCTTTTAGGTATTTTACAGTCAGAATTAATTGTTACAAAAATCTTACGTGCTACATTAACCACATTTTTTTTTACAAAGAAGATTGTGTTTTTGCCGTGTATATAGTTATACACAATACATGTTTTATTACATTTACATTAACCCTACTGGATCGCGCAATGAGCGAGCCGACCTGCTCCAACAGAAGGCGGCCCGTTCACGAGCATGACGTGAGGGCCAGCAATCGGTCCGATCAACCATTTCGCCCACTACCGCCGTGTCCCTATTCCTGATAGCAATTTTCAAGTTATAGTCCAGGATCCCCTGCTCACTCTCATCCGGAGGTTTAGGACGCCCGCTTCTCATGCATGAGGGTGCGGTCCCGAAACCTACCGACGGCAAGTTGCAATGTGACTTTTTCCGAGTTATGTTTTTTTTTAATTATTTAGACACTACTGACCAACGATGAAGGAAAACATCGTGAGAAAACCTGGGCAATTTCTAATTATAAGTTTGAAATTGAAACCAGCATTGACCAAGCGTGGTGATTAATGCTCAAACCGTCTACATTCGAGAAGAGGCCTTGGGTCAACCTCAGCGTGGCCACTTTTAGGCTGTTGATGTTATTTAATGATAGGCTCAAACTTTCTTCGTGTGAGATTGTGTGAGGCCATTGCATGGATCAGCAATGGCCATATTATGGGCGGTTGGTGATGATAAAGAGGGGCTTTTGACGTGTTTGAGATCTTGGATCTTTCACACGCTCAACGCAAGTATTTTCTACATTGTAGTTTTTTGTCTATTATTTTGGGATGTGTTTACTTGTGTACTTGTCATTTAAATGTCAGTATTTTACATTATACCACCATAAATATCACATTACACTAATAGTTACGTACCAACTGTTGAGGCATCGTAGTTGTGTGTTTTATGTTTTGGTTTAAAATGGCATAATTGATGATTGTTTGATTATTCGTTTACTTACGTAGCAAAACATTTACAAAGTTTATTTAATTTATTAGGAGCTTGTTTTCAGGGGGAAAGTCATCCAATGACTTAATTAATTAAGAGCCTTGCGAAAGGTAAACATATTTAAATTAACTAAAATCGCGGTAACTCACGTGAATATACCGAGGAAAGCTCTACTAGTTTCGAACCACGCACAGGGGTTCTTCCTCATGAGCAGCGTGCGCGGTCGCGGCGACGTTGCGCAGCTTACTCTAGAGCTTTTCTCAGTATATTCACGTAAGTAACCGGCGATTTTAATTAATTCAGCATGTCTCACGATAGTAATTATAAAAACGTAAACATATTTATTATTTTTCACCCCTGTATATGTGATTCCTTGGGCCATATGGCTGACTGGCAGCTTTACCCATATATAAAACATTAAAATAACATCTAAAAGAGATAATTCTTGGATTGGTAAGACGATAGGACACCCCTCAGAAAATATGCAGATAGAACTTTAGATGTAAATTACTGATTTTCTTCGCAAAGATGGGTTTAAAAAAGTTTCTTTTTGAAGATGAATCTGTGCAGTATGTAATTTCTGGACGTGAACTTCAGCATCCTCAACATGTCAGCCATAACTCTCTTGCTCTCTAAATGTCTTGTCAATTTAAACCGAACTAAAATCTTCACATTTATGATTATAATCTCATGAAATGTGAAGATTTTCGATTTTGATATATTCTAGCATAACTCTAGTCATGTGCATTCATTAATCTCTTCACTTGAAGAGTATACATATACTCGCGAAATGAGGTTCATTCACCGGTGTTTATCAAAGCTCGTTCATAATGTTTTTTTCAGGGGCATCACTGCACCAACTGATTACCTCTACGTTAAACTCTTGCGCATGACTTTGCGTATCATCGCCACCTGGCCTCAGACAGAACTCGGAGAGAAGGAACCTGTATACTTGAATGTTTTTCTAAAGTATTTTTATTTAGTGGCCACCATTGGCTGTCAAATCGGTTCATATTGTTACCTCAGAACGTATAGTGATGAACTTACCATGATGGAGGCTGGCCATAATTATATTATGATTATGATGACATTCATCGATATAGTGAGTAGAATCTTTGGTTTTTTCTTTCTTTCATGGCATTGCTTTTAAGAACAATTATCTGCCTCGTTGGCCGAGTGGTTGCAAGTGCGACTGCCGGGCAAGGGGTCTCGGGTTCGATTCCCGGATCGGGCAAAAGTATTACTGGGTTTTTAAATAATTCTCAGTAGTAGCACGGAGTCTGGAATTGTGCCCGGTATATGGCAATAGGCTCAGCCCCTATTACATGGGACTCATAGCACAAATAGTGAAAAGTGGGTGGTACATTGTACAGTGGTATAATGTGCACCTCTGCCTACCCCTTCGGGGATAAAAGGCGTGATGTTATGTTATGTGTCGGAACGGTCATTAGTACGAGATTTCGATTTACTACAAAACGAAGGAATAACAACAAAATGAATAAAGATGGCGCGCTTCAAGAGTTAATTGTGACGTCATGTCCGCCTAAGAGTGGGGGAGATTGAGTGACTTTCAACATCGCAGAACAGCAGGCACTTTTGGCTGGGACTCCGAACGAACAACGACGCACTGGGAATGCTGTCGGCCGAATAATGATTGCAATCATCAGAATCAGTGCTGTGAAATTGTCATTGACATTATATTGTTTGAGATTATAACGGTGAATATTATTACAATGTAAGTGGACTAAACTTTGATGTATTTTGACCATTTGTGAACTTTGAAAGGGACTGAGACCTCTGAGTTTGTTTCGGCGTTTCTTCTCAGA